TGTGTAGGCATGGAAGGATGCTGGGCTCCCGCTCTCAACCCCAAGCAACGAGGCCTGCAGGCTGTTTGATGCCACCCTCACCCAGGTATGCCCGCACAGGGAAGCCATGGCCCCTTCTGTAAAGGTCCACGGTGGTTTCTTAAGTTGGTGAATGCTCTCAATTGGTTTTTCATTTTTAAATTTTGGGTGCATCTCACAGCTACATCTATTCATGCCACAAAGCGAAGGGTACTTACACAAATGTACTCAAATGAACATGCCCCATGTTCCCATCTAACCAGTTGCTTCACCTGTGAATCCTGACTGACGTTTCATCTGCTGTGCTCTTATGGGGAGTAGAGCTGGGGAGAGATGGCTGTGAGCAGGTGCAGGACTTGAAGCGTTCAGAGCTGTACGTCTTTATCCGCACTCTGATTTCATAAACAATGAAGGCCACCGACCCATTCCTACCAAGTCTCCTGGGAAACTTTAGGTAGAGTGAGGCTTCAGGGGAACCAAACATTCTGTATAGTGCTTTGAAGCATCCTGGCGGGGGACCGATGGCTCTGGCCTAACAAAGCCCCACAGCCAATGGCTCGGAAGGTGGTGGATGCTTTTTAAATTGCATGGTGACTTCAGCAGTCTCCTGTGATGGAATCTGTGTCCTCTGTACCCCAAGACCGGGCACACACGTTAGAAACATCTACTGCCAGCGCCTGGCATGGCTGAGAGGTCCCCCTAGTGGTGGGCGGACAGCAGCGGGCTCCTTGTTGGGGATAGCCTGTGAGTGTGCGTAGCACTGCACAGGGGGCACACACAGGGGTGTGGCCTGCTGAGGGTTTGATGTGGGGCTACTCCTTTTAGGGCGTGAGACCCTGCTCTGGGGCTAATCTGTGAATCTGCTCTCAGCTATGGCTATTTCAAAACCTTCCACTGTATTTCCAGTCACTTTTAACACCAATGAAGGGCCGGATAGTTTTAGACCTAGGAGGGTCTCAGAAGTAAGGTCCAACTACTTTGTGTGACAGGTAGGGAAACTGAGGCCCAGAGAGCTGACTTATGCAGCAGTGAGCCAGAGGACGAGCAAAATGTGCCTGAGCCTACATACACCGATAGAAAACTAGAGCCGGGCTATATCAGGAGCCGCGAGACCGCTGCCCACTGACTCCATCCACGCAGCATAAGACCACAGAAGCTTCTAGAAACATAGGGGCCACACAAGACACACCTGGTGAAGTGCGGTTAGCTTGCTGAGGAACTCCACTGGGTACATTTGAGCTCCTTTTGTGCCCTTCCCACACCTTTTTCCCTCTGGGAACACCTCATTGGTTGCACGGCACAGTCCTCACCTGTGGTACCAGCCCACCCACCCCTTGACTGTGCACTTTCTGTCTTGTGTATCAGCGTCTCTGTGCCATCCCATGTTAGATCATGGGTTCTCTGAGTCTCTGCACCAACTCCCCACAGTCTTGTTAAAATAGACGTGCTGATTCTGTGTAAATGTAGGCTGGACATCTGACAGGGCACGTCCTAAAATCTAATGCATTATTATGGTTTTAGGATTTTTAAAAATAGGCATTTGTTTCTTTTTTAAAAGGACTAAAAACAAATGCACCAAATTGTCAAAAATGTGATGAGGTGACTTTAAGGGTAAGTTTTTATCTTGCAGCTTTCATGGCTCCACCTGACTTTCTGTAATGAATGTTTACTGCTGTCCTTCTTGAAAGGAAAGAAGAAGTACCCAATGTCAAGGCCGCTCGTAGGGCTGAAGCAGCTGACGTTGTGGGCAGGTCACCTGTCGGGCAGAGCCGTCCTTGAGATATTTCTCTTTCGGAATTGGCAGCCTCACCAGCCCTAGAAAATGTGCCTTGAGTTACACAAATTCAGTTTTTCCCCTGAGATCAACCCAGTTATGGCTTCTTTGAGTTAGAGTCCCGAAAATACTCAATATTCTAGAAAGAAAAATCATGGTTTAGGTACATGCCTTCATTAACATGAGTGAAGGCATCCCTGGGACAGCTTGGTCTTACCTTTTGTGTTGCAGTATGTAAAATGGACCAATGACGAGCGTCTTGGTGGCATTGAGGGCTGCCTGTCCAAGCTGAAGGCAGCAGACCCGAACTTCGGTGAGTGACGCTGTCCTGGGTGAGGAGCCCCTTGTCACCGGTCAGCCCCTCCCTGGTTCCCTGACTGAGGGACTCAGCTGGGTTGGGGAGGACAGGCCGGGTGGTGGTGAGAAGGCCGGCATCTGCGTGGAAGGAGGAAGGGGCGATGGCGGCCAGGGCTGTGCTTGGAATAGCAACTGCTCCCGTAGAGGTGCAGGTTCTAGAGAAGCCATCTTTAAAATTGTTTCCCTATTGGTACATCAATGCTGCAAGGAAGACACTGACCCCACTTCTCAGATGAGGACAACGAGGTTCAGGGAGAGTAAGAAAGGTACCCAAAGCCACCAGCTGATAGTTGGGGAGCCGGGTTCAGGCAAGGCTGTCTGAATCCATTGCCAGACCCGCCCCTGGAACACAAGAGGTGGCTCCTGCAGCCTTTCAGGGTGCTAGGGAGGCCTCACCCAGTGTGCTGGGGCTGGAAGGGCCACCCCAGTGACCCGTGTGCCCAGTGCATTCAGCCCAGTGCATTCTGGAACCCCAGGAGCATGGCCCCAGTGTGGGTGAGGTTCCGAGCCTGGGAGAAGGGCTGAGGAGGGGAGGGCAGGGCAGCAGGGACCCCTGCTCCCCCACTCTGCTGTGGCCAGGTCCCTCTGAGGGCAAGGGGCACACAACAGGGGAAGAAGGATGCTAAACCCAGCCTGTGGGGGGGTTGGGGGCAGGGTCTCTGAGCAGACCTGGGCCCCAGTCAGAAGCAGGGGCCACATAGGTGGTCCCAGCACTATGGTTGGGTCCCAGGTCCCCGGCTTGGGCCAGCAGCTGAATTCCAAACGCCAGTGGACATCCTGCCTCTGTCAAGGTGGGGCCTGGACACCTGCCAGCAAGGCTGCCACAATGGCCAAAGGCACCCCCACCCTCACTCACACCCTCTCAGTGCATGAGAGCAGCCAAGACGGAATCATAGCTTCTGTGCTTCTGGGACCAGCCCCGGACAGCATCCACTGAGTGTCCCCTGGAGGCCCTGTGCTGGTTGTAGTGACAATATCTGCTGATGAGGGAAGCAAGGTGGCCCCTAACCAGTTCACCCAGTGATTAGGTGCTCCAGACATTGGCACTCACCAGGATGCCCTCGTTAGGAAAACGTTTGTGAAGTCGCAGGATGCTTGTAGGGTCGCCGCTCCTCCACGTGCGTGGTGAGGGCCCAGGAGGAGTTAACGACTCTTGGGGGCACAGCACACAGACTACCTGCTGCCTGGCTTGTCCCTCCTGGGATGTGGGGTGTTTATTTCACACTCGGGGCCAGGCTGGGCCGTCTGACTCACCAGCTGTTCTCTAACCCCTCACCAGCGATGGGCCACGCCATCTCTAATGGCCTCGTGCTGATTGGCACCGGAAGCTCCGTGAGACTGGACAAGGAGCTGGACCTGGCTGTGAAGAATATGGTAGAGATTTCCAAAACCCAGCCGCTGACACAGCGGGAGTGGCTACACGTGTCTGCGGTAGAGACCTTTGCCAAGGGGTGAGAGGCCTCCCTGGGCCAGGGGCTGGCACTCCGAGCCTGTGCTGGGCGATGGGGTGGTTCTTGCCCTGCCTGCCGAACCCATCTGATTGAAAATCACATCCTGCCTGCTGGTGTGTCCTCAGCTGATGGCCGAATAAGGACGTAGTTAACTAGGATTCCCAGTACAGCATTCAGAGCCACTTATTTTCTTTCATTAAATACATTGGTTATTATTTTTGTTACAAAAAATTAATAGGAAAACATTACAGAAATATATAAAAGGTAGGAGAGAAAACCCTCGCCTGTATGCTCCTTGTCCTAACAGCCTTGTGAGCATCTGCTCATAATCTTCCAGGTTGTCCCCACCGCTGTCCCCACCGCTGTCTCCCGTGTGGGCATTCTGATTCTGGAGCCTGTCTCCGGGACAGCCCCTGTGTCTGCTCAGGCAGACGCGATGCCCTGCAGAGCGAGGTGACCTGAGCTGATGGTGTGGAGACTTTGTGAAGCGCGTTCATTGTCAGTGGAATTGTCTTTGGCAATGTGTTAAACCAGTTTTTTTGTGGGTTTTTTTGGGTTTTTTTGCTTCAATTTAAGAGTAAAGGTTCCCATTGATTTATCAGTCTTCTGAGTGACAACCTGACACTTCTTTATATATAGTTAAGTCCTTAATGTTGGTGATAGGTTCTGTGGCTTTAAGCAAAACTGCATACAACAAAACCAATTTTACTACAGGCTAATTGATATAAACAAGAGTTAACTTCCTGCAGCAACTCATCAACTTTGTAATGAAAAGGTGTTGACTCAAATGATTTGAGGACTTGGTTTTGTGTGTGTGTGTGTGTGTGTGTGTACATCAATTCAGGGCAGAATGTGATGCTGGCAAGAAACAATGCTTTTTCCACTCCCCATACGTGTGAACTATGTGTTCAGTGTTGCTGAGAAACTTCTCTTGGCTTCCAGGAACTTTCCCAAAGCCTGTGAACTATGGGAACAGATTCTCCGGGACCACCCGACGGATATGTTGGCCCTGAAATTTTCCCACGATGCCTATTTTTACCTGGGCTACCAGGAGCAGTTGCGAGATTCTGTGGCTCGCGTTTACCCCTTCTGGACACCTGCCATGCCGCTTAGCAGGTATGTGCCACTTGGCCATCACATCATTTCTATTTCTTAGTCTCTCTCCTCTGCCCTAAACACATGGCAGTGCTCCTGGCCCTGCCCTGAAAAGAGTGAGACCACTGCTGCTTTTCTTGTAGCTGTTGAAAGTAGAAAGGCTTCGTTTTCTCATTTGACCTCCATCCCATCCTGGGATGAGGTAGGACCATTGTGTATCAGCCAGCACAGGGAGTAACAAGCATCCCATAGATCTGGCTCTCCAAGGTGTATTACACCAAAGGCTAATTTCACTTACATACCGCATGCCCACCACAGGGCGGCTGAGGCTCTGCGCCCGTGCCATTGTCTCCTTCCGGAATGCCAGCTGATGAAGCAACCAGTCTCTGGAAACACCAGTCACCCCTGAGGGACTCCGAGTGAAAGGGATACCCTGTCACCCCCGAGTCATTGGCCAGAGCCGGCCACCCAGCCACAGGAGGCTGGGAAGTGCAGCAGTGCTCTGTGCTTGGAGGAGAGGGGTCCTGGAACAGCCCTAGCGACCACTGCACACGGTCATTGCATCTTAATCATAGGATTGTTGTGAAGGTCAAACAGATCAATAAATTGGAGAGCTGTTTTAGTGGGAGTTCTCCAGAGAAACAGAACCAATAGGATGTGTATGTCTATATTTATGATGCGTATATCTATATAGATATATCTCTATCGATATATGTATATCTATATCTGAGAGATTAATTTTAAAGAGTTGGCTCAGGCTACTGTGGGGACTGGCAAGTCGAAAACCCACAGGTCAGGCGCAGTCTGGAAAGTCGGGGAGTTTCTGTGTCACCATCTGTAGACAGGTTCCCTTCCTCTTGGGGAGGTCAGTCTAGTCTCTTAAGCCTTCAACTGATTGGGCGAGGCCCACCCACACCATGGCGGACAATCTGTTTTACTCCAAGTCTACTGATTTCAGTGTTAATCACGTCTAAAAACGACCTTCACAGAAACATCTAGACAGTGTCTTGCCAAATAACGGGACCGTGGCCCAGCCAAGGTGACACATCAAGTGAGCCGTCACAAGAGCCAGCAGTACTTGGCGTATCATATGCGTTCAATGAGCTTTTAAATGTTGAGGGTTCAGTGACCCCAGTAAGAACTCGATAAATATTTCCAAGCAAAGTCTGGAAGCCAGTGCTCTAGAACATCGTTCTGGGAATAATAGAAACTAGAGTTTGTGTCTATGCACCGCAGTCAAGATAACAGCTGAGTGTCCCATAGAGACACCTTCACTCTATCTTGTTTGCACATCATCCCACAAAACCACAGGAGAGAACGCCTCTTTCCCAGGTGATGGCCCTGGGTGCTCAGGTGCCAGTGGTTACAGACGTGGAATGGAAGTATTGATACGTCTTCAGTCAGCGAAGTGTCTTAAAGCTTCTCCTCGGCTGGGCCTGGGAGATGAGTGAGCGGGACAGACGGGGCTCCGGCCTCCGGGAGCTGGAGTCTGGGGAGGAACGGTGCACAGTGCTGTCCAGCAGAGAGGCCATGGGCAGCCCATGGTCACCACGGCTCCCTGGGAGGCGTCCCTGGGCCGCTCCTCCTGGTGGGCATCACCAAGCAGGCAGGAGGAGAAGACCCCTGTCACCCCCAGTGGAGACGGCACATTGACGTCTTGGGAGGTGGGATGTGAATTGCAGAGGGGTCTGCTGTGGGGACGGGGCAGTGGCCAGCAGTCCTTGGCTTCCTGGGCTCACACACAGCTGCATCACTTGTCTCTGCCTCTGTCCTCACACGGCTGTCTGTCCCTGTGTCCAAATCCCCCTCTCCTTTCTTTTATAAGGACACCAGCCATCGGATTTAGGGTCCACCCTGCTCCACTATGACCTCATTCTAACTTGATTACATCTGCAGACACCTGCAGTCTAAATTAGAACATATGTTCAAACGCATCTTTTTGGGGGACACAGTTTAGCCCATACAGGTTGTGTTGAGGGTTGAATGATCCTGGTCCACTTTCTTTTTTTTTTTTTTAAGATTTTTGCTCTCTGTTTTTAGCTATGTGAAAGGCATGTATTCTTTTGGATTGATGGAAACCAATTTCTACGATCAGGCAGAAAAACTTGCCAAAGAGGTGAGTGGGCCCTTTGAGGTGCCAGCCCTCAGGGAGAGGTGTCAGGTGGGGCAGAGCTGATGGGTGATGCCAGCAAGGCCCCCACCCTGGCTCCTGTGCCTGGCTCAGGGCAGACCTTTTCTATACGCCCGCTCTGGTCTGCTCAACCCGTCTCCCACGAGGCATTCATCTCCTCATTGCCCAGATTGGGGGGGAGGGTGTCAAGGCTCGGAGAGGCCAAGGCCAGAGCCCAGCCAAAGCCCCACAGCTCAGGGAAGGCAGAGCCGATGCTCATCCAGGCCACCTGACAGAGCCACCTGGACCAGCCCCGGCTTCCCAGCACCCCAGCCAGGGCTTTTCGCCCCAGATGTTGCCTGAGATGGCCCCCAGTGTCCCCCACCCCCACCCCCCCGGAGATACCCAGCACCTGTCAGGGGCCATAGGGCCATGGGGTCTCTGAAGACTGTTCTGGTTTCAGAGATGGAGCCCAGACTTGAGCGCAGGGTGCTGGGTTCTAGGCTGTATCCCTGAGTCAGCAATTGGGGGGCCCTGGGATCCATGGCCTGGGTGACCAGGCACCATCTATGGGATCAGCCACAGGAAGGTTCCCTGGAGACCATGACAGCTAGGCCTCTCCATTGGGTGGCGTCCGACTGGGCACCTGAGGGCTGGCAGGATGGTTTAAGAAGCCAGAGGGTGGCCAAAAGGTGCAGGAAGTGGTGGAATGAGGCGCCCCCTTTGTCCCTTCAAGCCCCTTTCTCCTGCTGTACCCCCTCCTGCAGGTGCCCACACTATGACCCCAACACCAGCACACCACAGGCAACACTGGGCAAGGCCAGGCTGTGACAGTGACCACCAGGATGTCAGGGGAGCAGGGGTGGGCTGCACCAGA